GAGCAGTTGGAAATGTGTATTGACTGCAGACCGTTTTCTATAAAAAAGTAATCAGATCTTCACAACAAAGGTATATTACTGAGTGACATAGCGTGACGAAATTATGGAAAACTCTAAAGTAAAACTAAAAGAACTAATTTGAAAAAAAAATGAACACGTTTTTTTGAACGCCTGAAGTTGTCACCAATAATTCTACATAGACATTGTTCAAAACCCTGTTCAGAAAAAATTTAAGGCTGAAAAAAGTAGCTTGTTGCAACTGACCAAGGTGTAATTTTAAACTTGAAAACCACTCGTTAACGTTATGAGAAGGCTTCCGTTTTGTCGTGAGCAGTGCCTACACCGTAATGTGCTCTACTACACCAATAAAAGCTGCCAAGTTTATATTGATAGAAAAGATACATCTTTTAAAATAAAAAAAAAGTAAAAAAACCAAAGTCACTAATAAAAAGTAATACCAAACTATGTGAAAGACTTACTTCTTCACTTTTATGAGAATATTTATTCGAAATTTTAATAATCTTATAGTTTAAAGAAGTAATATGGTTTTGAATATGTTTGATCCACTGCTCTAATGCTTTTTTGTCTTCACAGTGAATGATTCCAGACGACGTTCCGTCTACTGCCCGTACTTCAAAAGCATTATTTCTGTAAATAGTCTAATTTAGTCTATTAAAAATTATAATATACTTGTTAAAAAATAAAGAAAAATTCTGTTAACACTTTTTCTTATTCAGCGTTGCTTGCTTTCACAGTCATAAATTACAGATTTCACAAAATAATATGATCTCTTTGCGAAAAAATAAGAAGCTTTATAAAACCAGGTAGGAGATTATTTCTTTTGCTTTTATCACAGATAAGCAGGTAAAGGAAAAGAATTATTAATGCTTACCTAATTTTATCAGTACCCCATAAATATCGAGTCATAAAAGCCATCGGAAGAGGGATTTTTATTAACGTTTTCCACTCACTAGATGAATCGTCTAAATTTTTGCTCCGGCCAAGGGTTTGTTTGCTATCTGCATCTTTTAATACCTCATTGTCCGAATGTGCCTTCAGCGAAGACTATAGAGTATAATTTATAGCCACTGCGAATTAGTAAAATGAAAGAAAATAAAAAAGGATAAGTAGATAAGTTAAATTAAATTAACATTTCATATACCTTCCACGTACTCGACTCATATATTTTGTCAAATGCGCTTTTGCTTCTCAACCGCAAAGCACTGGTTGGTCTAAAGTTGATTGTCATTAGCTATTTACCACTTCTGATAGGTAAAAATGGTGTCCGTTTTCGTATGGATTAGTAAACAGAAAATAAAAAATGGTAAGAGAAAGAAGAAGAGAAAAGATAAAATGATTTTTACAGATATGCTATTAAATAGATAAGAACTGGTCGATAGTGCTAACTTCATAAAAGGAGCAATTTGAGTCTGCCTCCGAACACTTAAAACGACTTCATCTCCAGCATCACGAAGCGTTTGCACAACTTCATCATGCGTCTTTCCCTCGATTGACTGTTCATTCACTTCAACAATTGCGTCACCAACATATAACTGACCGCACTGCTCAGCTGAAACAATTTTTGATTATGTGTCAATATTTGGAACAGAAAAAAAATTACTTCCTCTTGAAAAGTGCCACAGATAAGGTGCTTAACATTGTTGCTTACCCTAAAAGACTACTACCACTACAAAATAACTGAAAAAAAAATAGAAAGAGAAAAAGACCAAAAAGCAGTAATTTTAAGAGATATTCCATGAGTGCCACTTGCCTGGTGTATTTGGGAAGATTTTCGAAATAATTATTGGAATACTTTGTGTTCCGTCTGAACCGCCCTTGAAAAGCGGTAAACAATTATTAATGTTACATTTTATTCCTAGTTAATTTTATAATTTAGTTTATAATTTTATAAATCTTTCAGATGATAGAAGCAATTTTGAAGAAGACAATTCGTGATAAGCTAATTCTACACAATATTTAGTAACAGTATCTGGAGAACATACTTTAATTGATATTCCAAGTCCACCTTCTTTCTGCTTCCGTAATTTGACACTTCTAATGGTAGTATCACATTCAACGCTTGATTCTGGTTGCATTTCTTCATCCGATGAAGTTGCCGATACCTGTATTGTAAGGGTATCTGAAATTCAAGAAATCAAACGCTTTGTCATTTCTATTTTTTCCTGTTATTCAGCTATAACTTCTCGACTACTTTAGTTCTGTTTTACTTTAGTAATTTTTTGTTGACTAGAAAAAAAAACAACTGTGATGAAAACCGCAGTGAACAAAAATTCATATTGTTCAGAGGTCTGCTTAATCACTGTAAGCAACAACAAGAAAGGTACCTTTGGTAAGTTCCATTCGTGCTGGTCTTTCTTTACCTTTTCCATCACTAAGCAACACCATCCCATGGTGAACCTGAACACTGCTTCTTATTACAGCTATCAGCATATTTGTTGAGAGCAACAACCTTCTTTTTTTTTTTTTTTTTTTTTTTTTTTTTT